AAAAAAAAAAAAAAAAAAAAAAATTAAATATAACACTGTGATTTTCCACCCAAATATTTAATAATGAGTAAGTATCTTACATGGCTGGCAAAAGTGAAAAGTGCATTTTTCAGTGAAAATAATTTGAATTGACTTTGACACATTTATTTTATTTGATTATATATCTGATTGGCTCTGCTATTATGGAGACTGGTTGGTTGCATTAAACTAATAGTTGAATGAAAGAAAGGCGTAAATCAATCCAGTTATTTCTGTTGTTTTGACAGGAGAAAGTTTTCTTTTCATGGTGCAATTGCTCATATCAAGATTAATATTCAGATAGTTTAGTTTTAGTCTTATGCATCTATTTTCTGTATTCTGGTACTTACCTTTCCCATCACTTGGAGACACTGCCTGACACCCACACCATAAAGGAGGAGAAGTTTAACTTGGCTTACAGTTCAGGGGGTTCAGTCCGTGGTCAGCCGGCTCCAGGATAGAACATCAGGGTGGAAGAGTGTGGCAGAGCAAAGCTGCTTAGTTCATGGCACAGAGGAAGCAGAGCAGGGGAACAGTGTGAGAGAGGACCAAATATTGCCTTCAAAGCCACTTCTCCACCCATCCAGATACACCCAGAAGTGGGCTTTACTAATCCCTGGGCATTTCCCAAGCCAATCAAGTTGACACAGTAAGCCTAACCACTAACATAAGTACCCCAGTATTTGTGTCTGTCTCTCTTTATGTGTGCATATAGAAATCAGGAGGAAGAGAGAATACATGGATATACCTGTAATGTGGCACAAAAACTGAAAGTGGCATACTGGTGTTTGTGTTATTTATATGATCTATATTAATAACTGTTATGTACTATAAAATATATTACTAAGTATAATATATAATAGTATTAGCACCATTACTAGTGGTACTGGCCATATTACATAATAGCATCTTTTGGAGAGGACAGTCTAAGACAAAAGGGATAGGGTAGAAAGGAGATTTCCTTTTACATATTTTTTCTGTTTATATTTTAAAATTATTACCTGTTCAAGAATAAAGTTAATTTTTTTTAAGCAGTTACAATGTAGAATTACATCTAGATTTATAAGTCAAGAGCTTTCATTTTTAAAATATGTGTAGAATTTACCAATTTCTCTTAAATTTCTTTTGGGATATTATATGCAACATTTTCAATAAGGTATGGTCAAAATTGTATGATAATTTCTTAAAATTACTTTATTTGCTATTGAGAAGGAAGGTTCCGTGGAAACATCACCATGCACCATCAGTAACCTGTAGATCCTGAAGTATCAGTGGCAAGGTGTGAAAATTCGAAAAGAAATCTTTTTGATGGTGATAGAATTGCCAATTCCTATAGGTGTAGTCAGTTCTTTACTGAAAAATGTGAAGTTTCCAACGCAAATTAAGTAACTGTGGAGAAATAAAGCTCCACCTCTCCGCCCACCCCAGGACGATGCTCCCGAGCTGGAGGAAGGGTTCGTGGTCACCATCACCGAGGTGACCCTGGCCAACTCGGACTTCTCCGCGGAGCAGCCGCACGTGCGCAGACCTGGCCGGGAAATGGCCGAGATAGTGATCGAAGAAAATGATGACGCCAGGGGCATTTTTAAGTTTCAAGTTACCAGGGTAAGATGAGCTTTCAGTCCCTTACAGTAGGTAGTATAGCAATAGAGGAGCCTGTCCTTGCTGATTTTTTTTTAATATGTTCTGCAAAATGAGTGGTTTTGCATGTAGCTATTTATAAATAGGTAAGTAACCACATTTACTGAGCCTGAGAAGTGCTCACCTGGGAGGGTCGCCCTGTCTTGCGCTTTTTTTTTTTTTTTTTTTTGGTGCTGGGAACTGAACTCATGACCTTGCACTTGCCAGGCAAGTGCTTTTGCCGCTGAGCTGTATCGCCAGCCCTGTCTTGCGTTTTGATTTTCACTCTTTACTGAAGGACACACGTGGAGCTGTCGCTGCCCACGAGCTGCCCCCGCCCAGGGACGTGCTGCAGGTGCCCGTGGTCCGGCTGGCCGGGAGCTTCGGCCCGGTCAGCGTGCACTGGACGGCCACGCCGGGCAGCGCTGGCGCCCAGGACTTCTCGCCGCTGCAGGGGATGCTGGACTTCGCGGACGGACAGGTGCGCGCCTCGCGTCGCGGTCGTGCTGGACGCTGGTGCTTCAGATCCGTGATAGGCAAGCGCCGATGAGCGTGCAGCACCGACGGCTAGTCCCTAAATGTTCCTGTGTTTAGTCAAACGGAAATACGAATGAGCAAATCCGTTAATGGCATAGGAGGAGCAGGTTAAGAGGCGAGATTCTCACCCCTGTCTGAACTTCCCCATCTGACTCCAGTTGACATAGAACTCACTAAACAATAATTGACTTAGAGGTGTCTAACAATGCATAAAAAACTGCCCGATGAAGTACAGTTGCTTTCCAATAAACATTAATTAAAAAAAAACTTGCCTAATGAACTAAACTATCTCATTGCTCCTCGGTTTCTTTTATGTAATGTTCATAAGTAGAACATTTATACTTTAGAATTTTCAGTACTGCCGTGCACATTTGTGAATTAATATCCAAAACATAGTTTATAACTCTAAAAAAGCTAAAATGGTACAAAAGAAACAGAATTAATTGTTAAACCTCTGAAATAATTTGAACAAGTACTCTAGATTTAGGTCTAATGACATTAAAAATAACAAAGTATCCCCCAACTGTTGTAAGTTTTGTGAATTGGGCATTTTGCAATATATAAGAATAAGCTTTTTAATAAAACTTTAATCAGTAAGTAGAAAAAGCGTAAGAATAAAGAACCATGAAAATATTCGTAACTTCAAACAGCAGAGCTGGTCTCTAGTAGGCGTATCTCTGCCTAGATGTGTTTCCCTAGCTGCTCAGAGGGCTGTAGTCAGTGCTACTAAAATATAAGCGTATATATCTAGATTTTCCTTCACTTTCCTACTCAGAAAGACCTCTTAGTGTGAATGGTTTTGAAATCATGATTTTTTTTGCCAGATTAAAAACTTTGACACATTTCCTATAAAAGGAGGGAAAGGAGAATAAATGAGATTTTTACATTAAAAGCTGAAACAAATTGACTTTTCACTGAGGCAACCTTCCCATTATGGTTTTATTTTTTTTATTTTTTCGTTTTTTTTTTTTCGTTTTTCTCCGGTACCGGGAACCGAACTCACGACCTTGCGCTTGCCAGGCAGGCGCTTTTGCCGCCGAGCTAAATCCCCAGCCCCCCATTATGGTTTTAGCACCAGCACTTTATTCTGAGCTTGCCGTTGAAGATTCATTATTTACCAGCGTCCTCAGACCCATGGTAGCTCTTAAAGCTCATGCAATGTGGGGAGATTTCTGTGCTCTGCAGCACAGGTTTGAGGTACAGAGGTTTTAATGAGCTTCCCTTTTAGCATGTGGCTTTATTCACTTTTGAATGTGGCATCTAGATTTCCTGCTTTTTCTACTGTTAAGGGTTTTAGATGGATTTACACAGAGGAAAATTTATTTTCTGGTTAATATGTGTGTCAACGTACTAAAATTTACCTGTGAGAAACAGAAGAAATACTTTCAACATGGACATATAGGTGGGAACTTTTTTTTTGGTATTGGGGCTCAAACTCAGGGCACTTTACCACTGAGCTACATCCTCATCCTTTTTTATTTTGAAACAGGGCCCTACTAAGTTGCCCAGGTGGGACTTGAACTTAGGATCCTCCTGTTTTGGCCTCCATGAGTGTAGCTGGGAAATCACAAGCTGGACCTTTTCTTACTTTTTTGAGATGGGATCTCATTAAGTTGCCCAGTCTGGCTGGCCCCTAAGTGACAGCCTTTGGAGGAGCTGGGATTACAGGCGCATAGCACCGTGCCCAGCTGGACCCAGTGTTATTTATAAGTTTATAAAAACAGTGTAAACCCAGAGATGTGAGTGAACTCCTGATCATAAACAGCCAAGAACAGCAAATTTGAGGTTTTCTCCCTGCCTCTTTTTTTTCCCTACATTACCAAAACTATTTGAAGCCAATGGGATTTATTGTAATTGCAAAAGACAGTGATAACTTTTATGGTTCTACTTGACACCATGAAATATTCATACCCAGCACACACAGGGTTTATGTTTGTACAGTGGATGCCAGAATTTACATGGCACTTAATTTTTTTCAAGAATAAGAATAATTTTTTTCTATCTGTAAATGTACTATATTTTATTACATAGATTAATGTCTTTATTTTGAAAATGAAGACTAAACTTCTGACTTTGAAATACTATAGGTATGCATGACTTTTAAAACTATTATGACTATTAACAGGTACATTTCTTTTGTACCATGTTTCTAAGTTTCAATTAAAATATAAGAGGAAAAATTGATGCAAACTGTTTCCATTTTCCTTCCCTCTCTCCTTTCTTCCCTTTTCCTCCCTGTCCTGGGCAGGTTACTGCAGTGATAGAAATCACCATCATCGACGATGCCGAATATGAACCCATGGAGATGTTCAGCCTCGCCTTGACCGGCGTGTCGGGAGGCGGCACCCTTGGAGATGATGTTCTGTTAACTGTTGTTATCCCACAGAATGATTCTCCATTTGGAGTATTTGGATTTGAAGAACAAACTGTAAGTTCGGTATAGCAGGGGACCGCTCTGCCGTGGGCCAGTTTTTAATGCAGTTTTCGGTAGAGAGGTGTCTTTTGGTTTAGCAACTTCATCGCCAACCTCACTCGAGTCTCTCTCGTCAAGTGTCTCTCGAATCGGCTGTGATTTAGAGGCCGGTCTTGCAGTCCACACACGCTGCTTGGTAGCAGTGAGAGCTCTTAACACAGGCACAGCGGAGGGAAACAACTCCTGTCTGTGGGGCACCGTAGACAAAGATCTACGGTTTGTGCACCCCTTTGTTTTTTACCTGCCCTCTGCCAGGCCCCCATCCTGTTCCGAGTGTGCGAGGTCTTCCGGCTGGGTGCTGGCCTCATGCCCCAGCATGGGTGCGGCTGGTGAAGGGTTTGTAGCACCCACTGTCTTGACCTATTTTGAACTAAACCCCACAGTCACCCCTAGTGACTCCCTCTTCTCATTGGCTGCTTTCTTCAAAGACCCAAAGGAGGGGACCCAGTTATTTAGTTCAGCCATCAAGGGAGGAAAAGGAGCTTAACCAGCCATGCGAATTCAGTATTTGTGCAGCAGGTTTGGTGGCTGTTATTTCCTGATCATCCCATTTCAAATATAAAGCACCATAAATTCTGTCATAATTACTATTACATGGTAATTACTATGATTTTGCCTGTTAAAGGAAGTTCTCAGGTGAAACAGTCATGAAAGTCCTTAGATAATTCCTGTATACTCAGCAAATTTTCTGGCCCTGTACGTCAGTACTCCCTTTACATAATCATTGATAGGTAATCAGTAATCGGCAAAAATCATTTTTAAGGATAAACCAATTGCCGTAACACGCTTTGTCTTCTGTACTCTGTGGACCCAAGGCTCAATCTACAACTTCCTCATCAGAGCTGAGATTCCCAGGGCTCCAGAATGTAAATACAGCCTAAGGGTTGCCTGGTGATACGGTCACTGAAAAAGTAGGTGGGGTGTCTCCCAGGCAGCGTAGCAGATCTTGCACATGTAAGAAAAGCATCAAGAGGAGAATGAAGTTTTCCAGAATGTCAGTGTCTCAAGAGAGCTATCAGTAATAGTTCATTGTATTTCCAACCATGCCATATTTCTTTGCATGTGTGCAGTATGTATGTGCATGTTGTAATGCACGTAAATGTGAAAACATTTTATAAAATCTATCTAAATTTCTAGGCTTAGATTACAAAATAGGATTTCATGTTCACATCTTCAGTTAGTGAAATCTTACAATGCTGCTTTTAACCGTTTAAACTTTTGGACTCAAGAATTGGATAATGTGTTTATAAGCTTCTCTTCCTGTATAAAATGAAGAGTCATGTTACTACTTACAAATTATTTTGTTTATTCATTTTGTCTAATCCGCTGCTATAAGCTTTAGTGTTCTATGTTTAGGCATGCTTGAAAATACTAGTTGTAAAAACCTCCAAGTCTCAATTTGTTTTAAAATCTAAAGGTTTAAGTTACCTAATCCCTACTCTATGAGTTTTATTCCTCTTAAGAATTATGAGGAATAAATGAGCTGATGTATGTAAAGCACTTGTACCTGGTTTTGCTCTCAGTTAGTGTCACCTGCTATTTTTATTGTTGGTAGAATAAGTAGCTTGTTGCCCAGCCCTTGGGGCTGTTGTCCTTATGGCCTATATTTCTTGATACCCTGAGTCCATCTTTTGATATGTATGTAAGACATACAGTACTGTACACACAGAGATCCTTCTGTTTGCATTGGTTGGCAACACAGACTTGGTTGAAAGCTGGAGAACAATGGGAAAGGTTTGCTAGTGTCAACCTGTCCAGATTAATAAGCCGCTCACAAGGGTAATGTAGTATGTATGTGAGAGAGAAGCTCAAAAAGTATCAATTAGCTCCAAATCTCCATACTTGGTACCAGTGCAAAAATTTCCCAAGAAAAACAAAATGAAATTGTTTTACATGCTTCTGAAGCTTCTGTCTTTTTTTGGTTTTTTTTCGTTCTTTTCTGGTACCAGGAATCGAACTCAGAACCTTGCGCTTGCCGGGCAGGCACTGTGCCACTGAGCTAAATCCCCAGCCCCTGAAGCTTCTGTCTTGAAAGTGGAAAACACTGTTTTATATTTTGAATTTACATACCATGTACATATTACAGGTTCACAAGGTCAGCCTAAGTAATCCACTTGAACCAGAGCTCTTGATAAGGACTTGTGAAAAAAAAAAAAAATAGCACTGGTAAATTAACATACCAAAATTTCTCTTTTAGATCAGGTCACTAAAACTTCTTTTAACATTTGACTCACTAAAGTTGGGAAACTTCAGATAATTCAGGGTACAGTTTAGGTCTGTGGGGAGCCTGGTTGCCGTCGCAGAGAATCCCAAATCTCAGTGCCTTTATTTCTTCTTTATGTGGGAGTCTCACGCTAGGGCTCCTGGTTGGCAGACAGGTATGGATACTTTTCCTCCACCTGGCTCCACCTCCTTCAGTTCCTGGGCATCCTCTCCAGCCACCTGACAGACAGGCAAAGGAGACTGCGGAGGACTGCGCACACATTTACAGCTGGTGTCAGGGCACATGTCACCCCTGTGTACCGTCTCTTGCCAGGATTCAGCCACTTGCTGTATCCAACTGCTGGAGAGGATAGGAAATGGCCAGTAGCTGAGTGTCTAGGGAAGAGGGGAAGTGGAGCGTGGTGAAACGCTTTTCCTGCTGGATGATTATAATTTACCATGAAGAGAGTTCTGACTTCAAAGCCTGCAGCGATTGCGCACAGAAGTAAGCGTTTGTTTCTCCTGCCATCATCATCGTCTATGGCTTCACCAGATTTATTCTTTCAGGTAGTGGTTGATGAGTCCCTTTTGTCTGATGACCCTGATTCCTATGTGACATTGACCGTAGTCCGGTCCCCAGGAGGGAAAGGAGCTGTCCGACTTCAGTGGACACTGGAGGAGAAAGCTAAGGACACTCTGAGCCCTTTGCACGGGATACTTCACTTTGATGAGGTACGGTCAGCTCTGGGACTCCTGTCACTTTCCTCTGACTTGTCTTTGGCTTTCCTTAGCATGGTACTACTGATGAGTTCATGTGACAGTACTCCATGTCTCTGAAAGTTTCTTGACATCTGTATACACTATGGGGAAAATCTGCCTGCTCTCTACACACAAAAGTCCTACATATCGGAAATCAGCTTGTTTAATCCAGGAGCTTCCTGTATCCCCATCGAATTTCCCTCTTCTCGCACTTCCTGTCCTGATGGAGGGCAGAGCCCGTCAAGCAAGCCCAACATTTAGGTGTGAGCCCAGCACCACCATTTCTGTAGCCCCTGCATAGATTTGATCGCCAAGTCTGGTCACTTTTCCTCCTTTAGGTGCTTTCTGGCTGTTCTGACTATGCAGATCTTTACACCGACTCAAAATATTAATCATGTACCACAGAAACACAATTTCAGAAACAGTCTCAATCAAACCTGAAAAAATTAAGACTTTTTAGCACCCGTGGACACTTGATGAAACCAGCCACTCAGAAGTCTAAAATAGATCTCTTAATAGAAAGCATATTACAGTCCCACTGCGTACGTCTTGGCTTCCTGCAGTGATTACAAGTGAGGGGGGAAATTCCCCTTTACTTTGAGAGACGTTTCTGAGAACAACTCCTCCTTCCAAAGCCTGACAGAGCCTTTGCAAAGTTTCATTTGTTTTTTATGTTCTTTTCAGCGCTACCCAAGAGGACCCTGGCTAGAGTATCAGCCAGCCCCACGCAGGGGGTGACTTTGCTGGTTTCCGGGGTCTGTTCCTTTCCTTCCTCCTCCTTCCCTGACTTGCTTGGCTCTAATGACTGAAAGAAGTTCATATGGTGAAGGCATCTGGTACATAATTAAGCTGATTGCTGGGTTTTGTGATGAATAATCTTAGCTTCACTAGAGCCAAGTGATATTTATCAAAGTCCCAGCGCCTTCCGGGAAGGGAGATGGTAAGGTTGAGGGGAATTGACAGACTGATCCTAAAACACCTATGGAGTTGCAGAAGGCCAAGAATGCACAGCAGCTCTGAAACAACATGGAGAGTGGCGTTGCTTACCCAGCTGTAAGACAGCACACCTCCCGCTAAGGTAAAGAAGCCGTGTGTTCTTGGCTCTGTGACGAACGAACAGAGCGAAGACAGAGACAAAACTGATAATCTTTTTGTGTTTTTTGCTCTTAGAATCATGTTTGAGGCTGAACATCTTTCCTAAATTAATAATAAAAATAAAAGCATGAGGCCGTTGGTTTAAAGAAAAGAAAAAGAGTAGAACTCACAAAGTAATTTCTAAAAAAACAACAAAATAATTCTGGAAACTAAGAATGGACAAGAAACAACCATTACAAGTGAGAACATATTAAAAATTTGAAGAGATCACTTTATATAAATCTAGACAAATAAATTTAAAGGCATATTATGGTATTGGCTATAGTAAACAATCTAACACATATGAAGTCTAAATAGATGAATTTCCTGCAAATGATTCAAAAAAATTAAACAGAAGTAGCTCCCTAGGCAATTTTGCAAAGGAATTTCACCAAACATTTCAAGATCAGTAACCCCAAAGTTTCATGGTTGTATTTCAGCCACTCATATATCTGAATTACAACAAAGAAATAAGTTAAGCACTTTATCATCCATTCGAATGCACCTCAGCCTCCAACAGCGATAATAAAGGACTGCAAAAAGATTCTCTTAGTTGAAAAAGAAACAAGATCTCTCAGTCCTTGTATTTGTTTTCTGCACTCTTGACAAGACAGGAGTTGTGTTCTTTTTATAGTCTCTTGACCCCTTTTTTCAAAGCACTCATCATCAAACAGCACAGAAGTGAATAACTTTTGTTTTGTCTCCCACCATGCTTGCGACATTGATTATGACCTCTGATGGCATTAAGTCTGGAGCCACATGTGCAGGCTGTTCCTCAAATTCCAATAAATGCTGACTCAAGATGGCATGCCCCAGCCATCATCTGAAAACTTACCACCTGGATAAAAGAATTTGAAATTTAGAAATTTATCTAAAACATTTCTAGAAAGATTAGTCTAAAATATGAGCAGTAATTTTCTATTTACCCTCTTTGAACAGCTAGATCTACTGCCCAGGCTATTAGAAAGGTTTTCTGTTTTGAACATGGAATCTATGCCAAAATAACAAATACTCTGATCTTTCCCCCAGTGATTAAGGCTGTCCTTTTTGAGAGTATTCTATCCAGAGGGGTGGCTTTATTGCTGGGTGGAATCCTGTTCAGTTGCTTGGTTACCAGCCTTGTGATTTCATGTCCATCTGCACAGCAGTCCCATTGCTTTTGCATATCCAGGTCTGAAGGATTCAAGTATCCATGGGTCTTCTATGGTTTGGACAGTGTCTTCTCTTTTCTGGTCCTGCTCATGGCTAGTACTGTGCAGGTAGCTCTCTCATCCCACAGGTCATTCTCCTGGCAACTCGGTGCTCACCTTTGGCAGTTGAGGTACTGGTCTACAAGATGTGCCCCTCACTGTACCAAGATTCACTGTATCATGCTTTCTCCTGGGGCTGCTGCAGAGTGAAGCAGTGACTGTGGGTTCACGATTCCCCCACTTACAGGGAAGTTCTTACAGTAGATCTGTTCAGTCTTTTCTTAGCAACAGGGTGAAGTTATCTTGTCTTATTTCCACCTGCAAAGATATCTGAGCTCTGTCCTCTATAGAAATGTACAACACAGGGCTGACAGATGGTCCAGGTGTGATGAATCGGTGTCTTCCTGGTGAGATTCTGAGATGGAGTATCAGGAGGCTTTGTAGGTACTTCTTTCTCCTTGGACCCACACCTGCATCTGTGGACTAGAGCACTGGACAGGGATGAAGGCAAGCTATGATGCAGTCTTAAATTTGCATGCTGTACACTACAGTTTGTGTTGAAGACGGGCTGGCTCTTCAGAACTGATCTGAGATGTAGGAAGGTTGAGTTTTATCCTACTGTCTTGAATAGTTAGTTATTGGGTGTGGATCGTGTGAGAAAGAGGATGCAGCCCTGCAGGATGAGGGGGCTTTTTCGAAATAAGGCAATTTCCAAGGAGCCTGAGAGATGACAGCTGCGTCCTGGAAATACTCCCAGCCGGTGGATGACGTGTGCTTTCCAGGAAGGGGATGGTGGTGGCCAGAGCATCACCACAGAGACCTGGGGCAGGGCCATGCTGAAGCGGGTGAGTCCCTTCCACTCTTTCCTTGCCTTTTATGAATAAATGTTGTCTTTCTATTACCCTTTTGGACTCTCAGTCCCCTCCCCTTCTGGCGTCTTTCCCACCCCTTCCACCTAGGGTGGTCCCGGGAGTAATCACTGCTCGTCCTTCCCTCTCTTGTCTTCCCCGTAGCTCAGGAATTTCTTAGAGATGTTTTCAGTGTAGGGTAGAGGAGTGAAATTGTGCTTGGGGAAAGAAAAATCAGAGGAAAAGAAATACACAGAGAAGCAACACTCATGCTCAGAGACATCACCGTGACACCTATCATGCTTATCTCTACCTTGTACTCTGCATTTTGACCAAGCAACATCAGTTTGTTCTCCACACCACTGATGAAATTTTCTGCGGTTGTGGGTTCTGCTACTTATTGCTTCTTGTAAACATTGGGTTTTGCAATTGCATCTTTCCTTGACATTGTTATTCTCCAACAGTATTATTTTCATCTCTTTTCTCACACTGTTCTCTCTTTATAGTTAATTATTCCTATTTTACATTAGATGCATTCTTAAAATTGTATAACGGTTTCTAGAAAACTCCTTGCCTGTACTGCCTGCCTGAGCTCTTGTTCAGTGTGCGCAGGGACATCTGTATTCCTGGAGGAGAGGGCGTCGTTTCCATCCACTCACTCTGGCATGTTGTGCCTGGGAGGATCTGAATTGAAGTGAAGAGGGAGGAGAGATAGGCGGGGAAACACAGCTCCTCGCATGGGTGGCAGTGCCTCCTGGGGTCAGTGCAGGAAATGCCCTGACCCACTCTGCATTCTCCTTGTTGAGGTTCTGGTGAGGATTGTATATGTGTCCTTTCATCCGCCCCAAACTGTTACCTCCACACATGAAAATACTGCCTGATTTCAGAAATGTTTTAGCTTTAGTTTCCTTTTCTTTTGTTGTCGCTTTGGGTCCCATATGGTGTCTACATGTGCATTTGATGAATTAATGTCTCTCCCAGCCAGCCTGCTGCCCGGTTCATCCAGAAATCTCTCTCCTGCATCTTTATGGTTTAATCTGTTACAGAAATATATGTGATATTGATATAAACCTCAAACAATACAGTTGGATGCAAAAAAGTAAGGAAAATTCTCCTGAATCCTCTTGGATCTTACATTGCTATATCCCGGAGGTAACTACTAACGACAGTTTCTTACACAGCCTTCCAAAAATTCCCTATGCATATTTAAGCATATGTATCTTATTCTTACACAAATGGAATTTTCGTCTGCAATCTGTTCTGTAGCTTGCTCTTTTTACTCCACAATTTATCACAAACACTTACTTTACATACTAACCAAAATCTACTGCAGTAAACGTTGGTTGCATATTTTTCATTGCGTTTATTTTTCTCTTAACACCTTTATTCATAAGCACCGTGTTTCATGGTGGCTTTTAGGGTTTCTCGCATTTCTTCTCTGTTTCTCTGCAATTCACATTTCTGGCACAGGGTTTGATCTCTCTCGTTGCCCCTTTCTGGAGGGTTTACCTGCTGTCACAGACTTCTTCTGTCCCCTTAAGCTGTATCATTTCCGTGTACTTCACTCTCTTCCCAGGCTGGATTCTCGTGTGCTGCTGGAAATTCCCACTCAAAAATAAGGCGGTAGGCTCAAAATCAAGCTAGACCTTAATCCAAATCTTCACTCCACCATTTAATGCCATGTGACTTCAGGAAAATCCGTTAATTTCTCTCACGTTAGATTTCCTAAATGCAAAATGGGGATGGTAATGCTTGACCTGAGCAAAGGCTGTAAAGATTGTATGAAATTATGTTTGTGAGGAGGCTAACCAACTTCCTGACCTTGGACAGTGGCTATAAACTAGTTCTGAAATAATCAAAGTCCAGTGAAATAGCACAGTGCTGCCTCAACTCAGTATAGTGAAGCTGAACTCCTTTTCTCCGTTGTGTGATTAAAAGTAATCAGCTTTGAATTTCAGAAACCTGGGAAACAATTTATGTTTCCATTTTCCCGAGAAAGCCTAGAGCGCCATTTTTCTGCATGGCTATTCTGCAGTAGAGTAATTATTCTGAATTTTAAGAGAAAAAAAGATTCTGTGTTCAAGTTATCTGGGAACATCTTGATTGAACTTGGAAGGCTTTTCTTGTGCAGGATATTTTATAAACCTTATTTAAGTGCAGTTTAAAACCTCTACTAGAAGTTTCCTGAATTTACTTATTTCCCTGTGAACCTCCCCATGGCCTTTCCATCCCAGGGCGTTTCTTGCTGTCCTTTGTCACCAGTGGTCCGGAAATAATTGACTGGGAATCGCCCCCACCACTACCACCATATTGATCTTCCCAGCATGACTGGTTATCTGTTTCTTAGAGAAGAGGAGACCGAAGCACATGAAGAGCTGACTTCCACAGACAGCAGTGAATAGACAGGGCCCTACCGATGTATAGAATACAGTTGAGTTTTGTGATTCGGGGTCTGGTCCATTTTTATTTCTCCGATGCTATGCTTGTGAATTTACCTATGCACTGAAGTCTGTTCGTGCCCCCAGCCCCCAATCAGCGTGTCTGATTCTTTCCTACTCACCTGTGCACATAGAGAGAGGGGTGAGAATTTCACTCTCTGAATCTGCTCATTCTCAGCAGAGGGGGACAGGCAGCACTTTTTCTTGTTTTAACTCTCACAGAGTAGACAGGTGTCTTTCTCACAGTGCTGTGCCGTTATTTTTTATTTTGTGCTTTTTGTTGATGATGTCAGTGCTTAAAGTGGCCCCCAAGTGGAGAGCTGCAGTGCCGTGTTCTGAAGTGGGAGGGGCTGCAGTGTGTGGTAAGGGGAAGGTGCGATTGCGTGCTCGATAATCTTCATGCAGTATGAGCTGCACTGCTTACTCAACATGGAGAATGTGTTACAGTGACCCAGACGTTTTGTCCCTATGCCCACATCTGTGGATGACTACAGAGGGCCCAGGTACTGATTGTGAGGCTACAAGTAAATTTTAGTGAGTATGCAGATTCAGAAATACAGAATTCAAGGATAATCAGAGTCAACTCTATGTAAAGGCAATAGCGCTTCATATAGATAACAATACACACAAAGACATACACACAGGAATATTCATGGCGATATTACTTATAATATGACATTACCAGAGTTAGATATGCATTGCAAAGAGTATAAGTGCAAAGAAGGGAATCTGTCCAGCTATCAAAAGGATAAGTTGGATCTACCTGCATAAACAGGGATGGCTCTTCAGTAGTGGATCTGGAAGGGAAGGTGAAGAAGCAGACACATTTAACAGTGAATGCCAGGATGGAGGAGTTTTGACAAAAGGGATTGAAACAGGTGAAGGCAGATGTGGTGCACATCTGTATGCCCACCTGCTCTGGAGACTGAGGAAGGAGGATCCCTTGGGCTCTGGGGATAAGGACTAACCAGGGAAAATTAGTGACCTCTCATCTCAAAGATAAAACAAAGCAAAACAAGCAAACATACAAAAAGAAATGCCCAGGCAAGGGTGACAAAAAGAATAAATAAAAATAAAAAGCCATCTGTCATCCAGTGGAGATGGTGCTGCTGAGCTCCAAGGGGAAGAGACCATGTGTAAGACCAGAGTCCTGAGTGCTCTGTCCATGGTGTCCCAGCTACTCAGGAGGCTGGGGCAGGAAGTCAGTCACATCCACAAATTTGAGGCCAGCCAGGGCAATATACTGAGACCCTGTCTCTAAAGAATAAATAAAATTGCTATGATCTTGCAGGAATTGAGGAAAAGTAAAAAATAACTCTAATGCATTCTGCATAAAAAAAGTGCGATATAGATTATGATGAGGAAAAAATCTTAAAGGTGAAGGTAAAAGAAAGGCAAAATGTATATACAAAATACCAGGTTCCCGGGTGGAAGCACAAAGTTTTCCTGTGAATTAGGCCCCATGAGTGCTGCCTTCAGGACTATATTAGCAAGGATGGTGCTGTTGAGGCTGGGGATTTAGCTCAGCGGCACAGCGCCTGCCTGGCAAGCACAAGGTTGTGAGTTCAATTCCCGGTACCAGAAAAAAACCAAAAAAAAAAAAAAAAAAAGGATGGAGCTGTTGCTAATTGAACACTGAACACTGACAGAACCTGCTAGGAGGGGACTTCCAGCAGTGACAGGCAGCAGCGCGACTCAGGGCTGCTGCCCAAGGCTGGCTGGGACCAAGGCTGGCGGGCTTTGTTTCCTCCTTGGAGTGAAGCCAGTTGTCCCTTAGGGCATTTGATATGTGACTCTTGTTTGTTTACATTTATGATGTGACCACTTAGCTCTCTACGATTGGACCTTCAGTGGCTGAAAACTTTTTGGTAAATTTAGGCAATGCGTTCATCTTCTCTCCACTTTTCTTTAAAAACCTGAGTGAAATTTAGAGAATATCAGGAATAATCAGATTCATTTTTTTTTTTTTTTTTGCATAGTAACCAAAATACTATGTGATAGAAAGGACACACTTTAAAAATGTTTATGGTCACAAATGCTACTCCACAGTCAAAATGTTGACTTTGCTCCCTGTGGGGAACCTCTCCACGGCTGCAGATGGAGCCCCAGAAGACCATTACCCTGAACGCACTCCAGGACGCCGTCTGGGACAAGGACACGCGCTTCACCATTCAGCTCACGGCAGAGGACGAGGTAGAAATATCTCCAGGAAAAGGTCAGAGAAAGTCCCATTTTTGCAAATTAAAAACTTGATCCTCAAGAAAGTATAATCAGATAATCAGTAGTTGCTGTGATAGGCAGTGTCAGCTTTTCTAATTCCTACAGTGTTTGCTAAAACACAAGGATATAATTTTCTACCCCTACTACAGATCAGGGATTTTTTAAATCAAAATTCTAATAGCCAACATTGGTGGGGTCATAGGTCAAACATTTTGTGCCACTTAGCTCTGATATTTTCTAACTAAAGATGTACCTTGTAGTAATATTTTTATAATAAAACATGGAAACTTCCTAAGGATTCCAACAGCAGGGGACTGGTTAAAAAGTGGCAGGAACCTGATGTAACAAAAAAACTGGATAATTACATGAAATATTAAGTACACTTAATTTCATGAGTGATTATTGTTAATAAAGTAGACTTTACAACAGTAGAGTCAGTGTAATTCCATTTTTTTATCAGGTACCTGTCTTACATGAGTTTGGAATTATTTATTTGAAATGTCAGTAGTGGGTTTTGCTTACCAATTCTGTAAGTTATTTACAATGATCACATATTACTTTGGTAATAAAATATTTTAAAACAATACATTATCACTGTTGGATATTTTTGTCTAACTGTACTTGTGAAAACTAATTACTCAGATATTTTCATGTTTCAGAAAAGGATGTCATAATTCCTGCTTGCCTATGGTCTGTAGGATGATTTGTTTTTTGGATCAATACAGAAAGGATAAATGATTCCAAAATGGTTTTATTATAATATAAACAGTACTAACAGTAAAAAACGGCCTAGAAATTTTGTAAATGCGTGGTGGTGTTACATGTCTTTTTTGCCATCAAAATTCCATCCTGTACAAGGGTCTATGACTAAAATTAAATTCTGTGAAGAAGAAAATTGTCAAAATTGTATAGTATCACCATATGTACATAAGGTTTTTCTTCTGACATGTTGATCTACAGTCTTTCCAGCAAACCTACTGTGTTAGTCAGTGTTCCGTCACTGTGACAGAATACCTGAAACTTATAAGAAGGAGAGGTTTATTTTAGCTCACGGTTTCAGAGGTTTCAGTCCCTGTAGGTAGGCCATGGCTGTTGGGACTGTGACAAGGCAGCATATCAAGGCAGGGATGTGGAACACAGGAAACTATTTATCATGGTGGCTGGAAAGTAGGGAGGAAGACTGGGGTAGGGTCCCAGTGTCTCCTTAAAGGCACAGCACACATCAGTGGTCTGACTTCCCTCCTCACATGCTCCACAAATTCTGTTTTTTGCCACATACTGTCTGAGTTATCCACACAGCCAAGTGCAACGAGACATAAAATGCTTGCTGTAGAAATGAATCCTGGTGAATGGTACAGGAACACTTGCTTACCCTGGGATCTAGAGCAGCATCATTGCCCACTGTTTCCTGACCCTTTGACTAAACTTGGATCTTAGCAAGTTTTCAGTATCCTCATAGCTAGAATGAGGATATTGGTGCCTAACTTACATGATTGTCTTGTGAATGCGCTAGGGCCACCTGTCTGCAGATGCATGTCTGTAACATATGTATCATCTTCAACATAGGGAGAGCATCGATCATCATGCGAGGAGGGAAGGCAGTGTCAGGGGAAGTTGGGATCGCTCTGTCATCCAGGCATGTCCTCATTGGGGAACCCTCGGCCTCATACAATGGCACTGCCGTCATCAGGTAGGGCTTCAGAACTGTCCTGTAATGGCAAAAATTGGGCTATATTCCATAAGAGACCAAAGGACTCTATTTAGAACAAACAGAGTTTATTAATTTAGACCGGTCACCTCTCATCCCACACTTGCAGGTCAGGAATGTGGGTGTGGGCCTTCCTTTGTTCCCACCTTATATGCATTTGTGCTTTCCATGGTAACAGATTGGAATGTTGTAGCTCTGGCCACACATTGTTTTTCTTGTGCAATGTAACTTGGTCAGGCTCTGGTCATGAGCCCAACCACAATGATTTATACTTTCTGTACTCTGTTCTGTATGTCCCCCTTTAGATAATCATACATTTCCTTTATGGTTACAGTGTTTATCTAGGGCCAGGGAAGGGATGAAACAACCCATGCAGGGTCATAGGTGGTTATCTAGGCCTGGGTGTTCTTTGTCTTTGGAGAAGCATTCCAGGGCTAAGTCAGGACTGCAAAGCTAACTTTTTACAACCCCTCTGGGATGTTTCTCAAGACACATTTTGAGGCTTGCAGTAAGACTAGAATTATTCTATCTTAAAATGATATGCTAAGAGTCACCATCCCCTACAGTCCTCTTCTGGTATGAGCTGTGAAGTATGTCAGCCTTCGTATGTCACTCACAGTAAATTCATGGTGTTCATGCATGATCATTGTGTGTTGATGGCACCATGTGGAGAGTAGAACTTGAGGCAGAGATTGGACATGGTGAGTCGGGTCACGAAGAGGTTTTGGGTGATTCGCCCAACCACATGCAGGAGATATGTGGAGATGGGGTCAGAAGGTCTGTGCTTTCAGCCTGGTTCTGTTCTGCATGAACATGTGCCAGGGGTGACTTCTTCTCTATACTTGCGCGTCTTGGCTACAAAATCAATCCTTAGCAAATTTCAAAGAGCAGTTTGATTCTGAAGAGATCAAAATCAGAGCCTTTCCTGTAACTATAATGGTACCATTGTGGGGAAGTTTTCTCTTCAAAATTCACTGGTGAAAAGTGGGGGCAGCAACCATCACTGAAGTAGCTGGATTTGCCTCCTCATTTTTTTCTTTTCATTATTTATCCAAAGGCAATACTTTAGCCTATTGCTCACACATGTATGAAGTATTTACTGCTTTTTGGAAAATTTTGTTATACAGACCACATGTGGTGGCTCAAATCTGTTATACCAGCATTCTGAAAGGCTGAGGCAGAAAGGTCACAAGTTTGAGCCCAGCCTGGGAAACTTAGCAACTTAAGAGAGACTCTGTCCTCAAAAGAAAGAAGGAAAGAAGGAAGGAAGGAAGGAAGAAAGGAAAAGGGGTATAGCAGAGGTTCTGGGTTCAACTTCGGTACAGCAGAAAAACAAACAAAAAGCAACAAAATCTTTTTAAGATATTCATATTTTATTTCTTGTATATCAATGAACATGTATAAATATTTCTATTTACTCTTTTAAGCCTATTTTTGCTGTTCAGCTTTTGCCAGTATTCCTGGGAAAATAGATTTACTAGCTCAGTACTTTCGGTGCTAACTCTCTTGGAATTCTAAGATTTTCTTTTCATTTATAGTTGATAGATGAGCTTGTTTAAAAACATAATGTTCTTGAAAGACACAACTAATATATAGGTAAAGTACCATTAATAAGTTTACTGAATGGCCACTTGTATGTCGTTGTAGCCTTGTCCGTGGCCCCGAGCTCTGGGGGGAAGTGACAGTGTGGTGGAGAATCTCCCCTCCTTCCACTGGGGAGTTTGCTGAAACCTCAGGGAAGCTGACCATGTGGGATGGACAGTCGGCGGCCATCGTGGTCATTCAGGTGCAGTGCTGCTGGCTCTGTGACGCTCTGGCTCTGGTGCATGCGTGTGTGTGTGTGTGTGGTTGGGGTGACACGTAGAGATTAATGTCACAGAGTCTATTGCTGTCATTTATTTGACAGATACTTTCCTTTACATGTTCTGGATTCTAGTGCTGATGGCTCTCTGTCCTTCTGTAGGCGCTGAACGATGACATTCCTGAGGAGAAGCATTTCTATGAGTTTCAGCTCACGGATGTCAGTGAGGGTGCAGGGCTGAGCACCTCCAGCCACACGGCCAACATCACCATGGTGGCCAGCGATGCTCCCTATGGCCACTTTGCCTTTTCCCAGGAGCAGCTCCAGGTGCTGGAGGAAGTGCAGAAGGTACGGTGGAAAGTACTTAAAGTCTTAGTGTAGTTTTTGCTTTTGGTGTTGTGAACGATGCATTTAAAATGCATTTCCCTGTTAGTATTCTCAGCTGTTCTCATATGCAGAGCGTGGTGATGCATGCCTGAATCCCAACATTCAGGAAGCTGAGACAGGATGATCACTATGAGTTGAAGGCCAGGCTGAGCTACATAGGGAGACCCTGCCTCAAAAAAAACAAAAACAAAAAAATTTAAAATACAAAGTGAACTTTTCATAAATATTTGCTCCTAACATCTCTATTTTAACGTATAATGTATTTAATTTGTGATGTATGTCTCATTTGCACATAACCTTTGTAAACACAGTGTTTCCCTGGGCATGATGCTGTCTGCGTTTCGCACAGGTTAACATCACAGTGGCCCGGGCAGGCGGCTCCCTGGGTTTGGTGAGGCTGCGGTTCGAGACGGTGGGCGGCACCGCAGACGCAGGCCTGGACTTCGTCCCCGCGGCTGGGCAGGTCCTCTTCGAGGCCGGAGAGCTGACGAAGGTGCTGCAGGTCGAGATCCTTGACGATGACCACCCTGAAGGCCCTGAGGACTTTTCTCTAGCAATTACAAAGGTGGAGCTCCAGGGAAGGTAAAGAAGGTGAACTTAGGGAAGGCACAGAGGAGAAGGGAAGCAGGAGAGAAAAGCAGCACAGGAGGGACAGGAGTGGAGAGGCGTTGAGGAAAAGCTGTGGATAGAGACATTTTCCCCAGATGTAAGACAGGTTTTCCTCTGCTCTCTGTCCGAGCTGCGGGATGTTAAAATGGCACAGGAGGGAAATTAGCATGAAGACTCCCTGTCAATTTCTGCAGTTTTCTGAATCATCGTTCTTTCCCGACACGGATAGGACGTGGCTGAATGCAGGCGGGGCAGCCTGGGGCTGAGCACAGCCCGGGTGTCGCTGTCTGGTGAGGAGCTGCCCGGCGGTTCTTCCCTCCGAGGTCAGCAGCTGGAGCTGCCACCCCGGCTCTGACCCGGCGGGCTCCCAGTGCGCCTCCTTCACTGCTGTGTGCCACGGCTCTGCGGTCTGCTTTGTGCACAAGCGAGGCAGGCACCTACGCAGCTGTAGTTTCAAAGTGGGGCAAATCTAACTCCAAGACAAGTGGCCATTCACGTGCAGCATGTTTTCAGAGAAGATCAAAAATAAGCACAGTGCATACCCAGCAGCTTCTGAGGCCAGCCTGGGCAAGTTGGTGAGACCCTGCCTTAAAAATGGGGCGGTGGTAGAGTGCTTTCCTAGCATGTGTGGGGACCTGGGTTCAATCTCAGTACTGAAAAAGGCAGGCAGGCAGGCAGGCAGGCAGGCAGGCAGGAAGGAAGGAAGGAAGGCAGGAAGGAAGAAAAGGAAGGGACGGAGGGAGGGAGGGACAGAGGGAGGGAGGAAGGGACAGAGGCAGGGAGGGATGCAGGGAGGAAGGGGAAGGGAGTTAAATAACCATATGAACCACAGAGTCCCTATCATCCCCTACCCGACGGGGCAGACTGGGATGAAGGGTGGTCCACCCCAGCGCCCCACACACCGGTGAGCGCAGTTCACAAGTCGTGTGACTGTCAGGCCCTCTGCCCAGGTAGCTCTCAGGACGGAGAGGAGGGCCTCCCGCCGCAACCGTGTTTGCATGCGTGGAAATCTGAAAGAAGTGCTTCTTGTGCCTGAGATCATTTTTGCATTTGTGACACAAATATTATGCTGTACATGTTTTTACAACTAAAATATTTCTGAGTGGCTCAGGTAGAGTACAGTACATGGCATCCCAGCTGAGAAGGAAATATTCTGGGTTCACAGCCACCTCAGCGCTTAGATTTCTCAGACTCTCTTCTGTGTCTGGCAATGGGACTGAATTTCTGCGCATATGAAATATGTTAAAATTCAAACTGGACCCTGACTCTTTTCATTAAATGCATATAATTTACAAGTAGCGCACTGTGAGATTGCATTTGTGTTATTAACTTGAAATTTTTAGCCTTCTTGCTTGCACTCTGAAGAAAAGCAGTTTCTAATGAAGTTTAATTTTGGGAAGCACATTTTTCTTTACAAATAGTTGTTAGGCTCTCTTTGCTCTAAAAAAAAAGTATAATTCAGTATGTTACTTTTTTTGCCTACTTGTGAGAAACCTTACTACACTTGTTGCCACTTACAGTAATCAGCTAAGCTACTGTACGCTCACCAGACTCCCGCAGCAGTTCCTCTTACCATTTGATACGTTAATCCCTGTGGTTTTCGTTTTGGCTTATATGTAATCTTAATCACCAGCTTTCAACAAGGTGGGGTGAAATAGCAGGTAAATAGAATTTGGGGCTTGAAAGAAGGACTAAAATGTTTTAGTATCATTTTTTAGTTTCAAGAACTAAAGTGATGTACAGCCCGTAGTAGTGAAAACTTGTTTGGTATGAATAATACCACTGTAAAAAAAAAAAATAATACCAATGTGAAAATGTTTTTGCTGTGAAAACTTGTTTGGTATGAATAATACCACTGTAAAAAAAAAAATAATACCAATGTGAAAATGTCATCACACAAATAAACGATCCTCTGTAGTACGGAGGTGTTGATTATAATTAAAATGTTTTCTTGACTTTTGGTGATTTATCTTGAAATTTGATTAGTGGCAGGACAATTTTTTGTATCTTTAAAGTAAACCTGTCATCCTAACCCTGGAAAACTGAAGTGTAGCTGGTTGATTATCTTTGTATCTTTGAGTATATGGGGCCCAGTACTTGAGAATGGGCACCAATGTTTGGAAGCAGCACAAAAATCTTTTTAAAAACATTTAAGGGGGAAAAAAAGATTATCTTAGCGTTAAGGATCTTTAAAAGCATTACTATATTATAGAACTAAGGGATAGAAGCTAAAAGGACCCTTCAGTCCATGCTAAGTAACTGCGTTTTCATGTCATCTTATTTTGTTGTATTTTAAATTTTTATTTCTTATGCCTTTGCAAGAGGGTATGATTTTACCATCCAAGAAAATGGACTTCAGATAGATCAACCTCCTGAAATAGGAAACATCTCCACTGTTCGAATCATAATAATGAAAAACGATAATGCAGAAGGCATCATTGAATTTGACCCGAAGTACACGGACTTCGAAGGTAGGTTGAGTTAGCCGGCTTAGATGTTTACCGTCACGTTCTGAACTGCAAAGTCGCTGCGCGTGACATTTCGCTTGAATTCCTATACGTACATTATCATGATTTGTTGGGTGTGTCTGTGTCTCTGTGTATACATATATACCTTCATATATTTTCGGAATATATTTTTTCATTTAACATTTAGGAAGTCTTGAATTTTTCTGTATATGGTAAAGCCAAATAGGAATGATTTTTTTTAAAAAAAGCAAATAGGAATGATTGAATCTAGATTATGTTTCACTTTAGGATTTTAGAAATACTTGTTTTAATTTTCCCGAAACCTTGTCTATGTAATATTTGATTTCCCATACGATCATAAATTGGCGAACATTTGCTTTTTGGTGAGCGATCACCTTTGAAATGAACATTTCACTAGCCTGCAGGGGCAGCTAATGTGTGGCTGTCTGATCCTGCTCTTCGGCCGCTGCGGTAGGAGCTGGCCTAATATCACCAGTGCTCCCCAAATGCAGCGCTTTTTTCCGCCGTAGGCGAACAGATGACCCCTTTCCTAGGGAAGTATTTAGCCATGGATATGTAAGTGCTGGTAAACCGTATTTCAGTGTACAGAGCTAGCGTGGCTCAATACGCAATACAGGTACTTTTAAAAGAACTTACAAATTGAAATCACACATGAGGATGCGTTTTCATATTCCCACGTAGATTTTACAGGACTTGAAAATAGTATAACTTTTTATACGTGGTCTTACAATATTCATGACATAAATAACAGAAAGTTCATCTACTTATATTTCAACTAAGTGTGCAGATGAATGTAGAATGACTTCCTTTTCTGCATTTTAAGTGTTTTTCTAACGTTTTCCTAGAAAACAAGTTATTTATCTGTATATGGCACATAGAGAAAACGAATGCCTATAATGACTAGGTGTGTAAATTCTTTTCCTAATCACTGTCTTTTACCAGCTAACAACCTAGATTCTTCCTTTAAAAGTAAGAGGCATGACATTTACACTAGTGCCTTCTTTGTGTGGTACTGGGGATTGACCCCAGGGCCTTCACACTGAGCTCCCTCCCCAGCTGTCACCCCGCTCCCCCCAAATAATGTAATGCTGAGACAAGGCCTTGCTAAGTCTCTGCGCTGCCCAGCGGGGCTCAGACTTGGAGTCCTTCTGCCCCAGCTTCCTGCAGCGCTGGGATTCTAGGCGTGTGCCACCACGCGCAGCCGCACCGGTCATCGTTAAGGTTGCGCTGTGCCTCTCTCCCCCTGCTTTGCTTTGGGCGCCCGTGCGCCGCGCTCACCCGCTGCCGCCCCTTCCGCGCAGTGGAGGCGGACGCGGGCCCGGTGGCGATCCCCGTGCGGAGGCTGCGCGGGACGCACGGCCGCGTGACGGCCGAGTTCGTGGCGCAGAGCCCGTCTGCGGTCGCGGGAGGCGTGGACTTCACGCTGCACGGCGCCTCGGTGGTCACCTTCCAGCACGGGCAGAACCTGAGCTTCATCCACGTCTGGCTCACGGACGGCGGCGCGAGGTGCGCGCGGGGAGGG